GAGGGGGTGGTCTTAGCCGCGAGTTGTGCTTGTCCTGGAACAGCCTTCATTGCGCCTAGGATCTAGGCTGGCATTCATTGGCCTTCAAGTATCTATATATATATATATATATATATAGCATGTATTTAGTTATCGGTGTATTTATTGAGTGATTGATTTATTTATATACATACTATACAATATTGTTATACACATATATAGATTCTGCATAGATGTGTATATCGTCAGGACAGTTCGAGGATTAACGGTTTAGGGATGAATGAGGACAGGATGTTTGAGTGCTGCAGTAAACCCCAAATGCCGAATCAGGTCGACTCATGACCCCAAACCCTAAAGTCTAAACCCCAACCCCGAAACCCTACACCCTAAACCCGTTCTGAACCTTCAGGGCACGGACCTCGCAGACTCCGGCTGGCGCGCGCTGCCGCCGGATTGCCTCAGGTATCCGCTAAGACGACGAGGCCGAGGGCTTCAAGGAATTAGGGTTCAGGATTTAGGGCTTATTTAGTGTTCTGGGCGGAAGAAAGCTGTCGTCGGATGTTTCGTTTGCTGGAGTTTAAATCCTCCAAAAACGCCTTTTTGAGCTGGTTAAGTTCAAGGTTTTTTTGATGTACGGTTTAGATTTCATGCATTTTCCAAGATGTTACAATAGCAGCAGCCTCTGTGAGTACCTTTCCGTGCCAGGGCGAAGCAACGCCAGAGCAGGCAGCCGCTGTCTGAAGCACATGAGCCGGCTGCGCCGTTTTTGTTTTGGACGTGATCACGGGGGTGTTGCAGCTGTCAAAGTGAGTTCCTGCGGCGCCTGGAAGATATGCTGCACGGCAGCACCTCTTTGAAGACGCCGGAAAGTGGGAAGAAGGCAGGTGCGGCTCGAAAGCGACTCTTCTTCAGTAATGGCAGACTGACCCTGCCAGTTTGGCCATGGCGGCTGCAGAGGGCCATGCGCCGCCATGACGTGGAAGGACAGCCTTTGGTGGAAAGGGAACAACGAAGTGCCGAAGACGAACATCAAATGCTATTTTGCGGCGACACGATGTGTCGAGAGACACGGTGCTAAAGAGGAATGCGTTACCGTCCGTCCAATCCGTCCAATAGGAACGCCAATTCATGCGGAACATCCTGCTGTGTTTCTCGTTCGCCAGTGCCGCGGTGATCGCAGCAGCTGCAGGCGTGCCCACTTGGTGGCCATTTTCAGCTTGAAGCTCTGTCTCTGGATGCACGGCAGAAGCTGAGACGTGAAGTATGGGTCTAGGACCCATGAGGACCTACACACATGCCCGGGGAGATGCCTGATCTCGTGGTTGCCCCTTCCGTGCATCTTCGCTTGGTGCCAGACCCCCTGCTCATGTCCAGCGTTGAGCACGTCATGGATGGCCGGATGGCTGCATTCTGCTTGAGACGACCAGGAGCCGCATGGAGGCCACAGAAGATGTGGCCGAGCCTATGGCAGAAAGGGCGACGGCCATGTGCCTGCACGAGCTTTGGGTCCTTTGCAGGTGTTCTGAGCGCGCGAATTGGAGCTCAAAGCAGCTCGAAGTCAAAATGGGCTCCTTCGGTTGGCCATTGGACCAGAAACCCCGATGTAGAGAGGTGCAACAACCAAAGCTAGCAAGTAGCAACTACCTGTTCTTTGAGGCAGGGCAAGGCCGATTGATCCAGAGGCAGGGCAAAACTCAAGCAAGACCGTAGCACCCCGCACATCTTTTTCCGGGAATATCTCGCGGCTTTTAGTTCCTTTAGGCGGGGGGGAGGGGCTCTCCGAGAGGACTAGGATGAGGGCTGCCCAAAAGCCTACACCCCCAAAACCCTGCACCCTGAGGGATAGCAAGGACAAAGCCTATCGTCGGGCCGATGAGGGATGCAGCACACTTGATGCTTATCGCGCTTGCACGTTTAGCATGCAGCTCTGGTATTGTACGAATTTGTACAAGAGTAGTGCCGTCATACCATTAAATAAGAGTGCACAGTGTTATGTCCTACTCCTTGAGTTCTGAGACGGATCAGCTAAAAAAAGGTCGCGTTTGCGCACGAACCTCTGTATCAGTGGCTCAAGTGTAAAAGTCACCTGTAAATACCCTCAACCTTAAACCCGAAATCCCTAAACCCCAAAACCCTGAACCCGTAAAACCCTAACACCCTAATCCCAAAAAACCCAAAACCCTAAACCTCACCGAAAAGATGGTGCCCCGCATAGAGCAAGGTGCCTAATTCCCAAATCCCAACGAGGAACAGGTGAGCCCTAAACCTTGAACCCCCAACCCTAAGCCGCAAGACCTAAACCCTAACCCCCAATGTTACAGCGAGGTAGCAGTTCGGAGGCCATTAAAACCCTAAACCCTAAACCCTGAACCCTAAACCCTAAACGCTAACCCCTAAACCTCCTCATGGCAAGCAGCGGACATGTAGGCCGGAGGTCTATCGCATGCTTCTTCTCATGAGCAAGGGCCCTGGCTGCTGTAGAGCAGGTATTCAGCGATGTGATGCCTACACCCTAAGCTTCAAACCCTAAACCCTAAACCCTCAACCCTCAACCCTCAACCCTAAACCCTAAACCCTAAACCCTAAACCCTAAACCCTAATCCCTAAACCCTAAACCCTAAACCCCAACCCCCAAGGCAAAAAGCGCTACGCTGGGCTGTCCTTCAGCTCTAGCTCGACTTCAAGGCTCGAGTTCGTTCAGCGTTTTAGGTGTTAGGGTTTAGGGTTTAGGGCTCAGGGTATAGAGTTTAGGGTTTAGGGCTTAAGGTTTATGGTCTTGGTGTTTTTTGGGGGATCCCTCTCATCGTTTTGTTGCTGCAGTGGACCCGTAAGTTGAGATGAGTCCGCCCCAAGGCATTTCGGGCTTAAGTGTTGGAGGTCTAAACCCTGTGACCCTTGCAATGGGACTCGTTGGCTTTAAAGCGATTTCCATAAGGGGTCCGCTGCTTGCAATGGGGGAGGGGATGTTGTGAGTGTGACATTGTTTTCATTCTTTGGGTTTGGGGTTATACGATAAGTAATCCCAAAAAGAAACATCTTTCCCACATTGCAGGAACTAGTATATGGCTGTACAGCCTTTGATATGAAAGAATCCGAATATGAAAGAATCCGAACCGTAGTCCTTACAGCCTACGTTGAAGATAAGCTGGGAGCCAAGCCGACGCTGTCTATCTGGGAGAGCCAGACTCCTCCGACCTCCTACATATTCCTACACCCTAAACCAGTGCTACAGCGAACCCTACCCTTCGGCCTCCCTAGCCCCAAACTGCTTCAACCGTATACACGCCCGGGCCCAGACCCCCCTAAACCCTAAACCCTAAACCCTAAACTTTAAACCCTAAACCCTAAACCCTCAACCCTCAACCCTAAACCCTAAACCCTAAACCCTAAACCCTAAACCCCAACCCTAAACCCTAAACCCTAAACCCTAAACCCTAAACCCTAACCCATCAATCTGAGACCCTAAAGCCCCAGAAAGGTGCGCGCTGGGATGTCGCAGATTCGGTGCCGAAGGTCAGCCTTGTTTTAATGCAACTTGTGTGTTTAGCTGTTGTGCGTGTTTGCGTACGCTTTCTCATGATGTGTTTTTTGTTGTTTTTTGTTTAAATGTGGGCTGTCGGATTTCAGGGTTTGTGCTTCGAAAATTTAAGTTAGGCCCTGAACCCTAAGCCCTAAAACCCAATTTCCCGAACACCCAAAGCCCATCGCTGCAGATCGCAGGTACGTAGTTCCGCAGTCTTTGCAGTTGAGTTTGAGCTCCCCTACCGCAAACCCTGAGCGATATTGTTTGATCAGAACGTGCATTTTGTTTGCCCCGTTGTTGTGTTAAAACAAAGTTCGTTCTGCCAGCAATCAAGCAAGCAAGCCGGTCCAAGATGTTTCGCACCTTCCGACTTGGACTTTCTCCCTAACTGTTTACAGTGATCGTCTCATCTTACAGGGTTGAGAGCCTAAGTTTAGGGTTTAGGGGGTAATCCTCAGTACTTCTAACATGTCTGCAAGTGCTTAGTTGCGCACGATTATTGTTGACATGTTTCGGCTATATGAGCCCAAACTAAGGTTCATTTGGTCCCAGTCTTTGTTCCAAGGAAAGAGATGCATGTGTGTATATACATATATAACACGGAGTTTCCATATTCTACAGTTACATATATATATATATGTATACATATTTAGTACTCATGTCATTTATTGATGCACCACATACAAGGCCCTAGACATGTACGACTTTGAGGATGCAGGTTCTTCAAATCTTAAGCCTCCTCCCGTCATCTCGGGTCAGGGAGCAGCGCGACGAAGACGCTGCTTGCTGAGCTGAACGGGCTCGTGCGGCTCTGAGCCTTTTTCGGGGCAAACCTTGGACCCCAAACCCTAAACCCTAAACCCTAAACCCTAAACCCTAAACCCTAAACCCTAAACTCCAATCGTGAAGTTGCCAGCGATGTCCGGCGCCCTCACGCCCAGTCAGTGTGTCGGTCTTACCAGCCAACGTCTTGACGAAGATCTGGCGAGGAAGTGGCCCCCCGATGTCCATCACACGGGCTCCCAGTGGGGTAATATGAGGGCTTTAATAATTTTACTAGGGTCTCGGGGATGTTAATAGCATAATTCTATAGGGTCCCTAAATTTTCCGGCCACTATTATTATTCATTTTGCATTCGCTCCGTTGTATCCCGGATCCGGGCCTGCATGCGGGAGTTTGCGATATTAGGGGTAGCTTATTGGGGTCCGTTACATAGTGGGATCCTACTATTCGGCGGTCTATGGTAGGGGTCCCGTATTGTCGTAAACCCCCATGTCGGCGAGGCTGATGCCACCCAAGCCGTCTTCAAGGGCTCTGTGCAAAGCTCGCATCGACTAAAGCGCCCCACATTGTGTCTGTACAACGGGGATCAACTTCTCAAGAGCGGCATCGACCACTGGGGGGCATTGTGATCTGATCGATCTGTAGCAACCATCCGATACTCGGCGCTGTGCGAAAGTCAGTCCTTAGGCTTAGACGTTGTGTGGCTTCAGGGTCCATGCGGGTCACGGCTTGCCTGTCAAAGGGCCTTGCTGAGGCCATCGCCGGTGACTCCGCCGCCGCTGCATTGCGGTTTCGTGCCGCGCCTTCGCCGGCACCGCGGGTGATGTGGAACACCGTGCTGAAGGCGCTCTCTCTCTCTCTCTCTGTCACTCTTCCTTCTCTCGCTGTCTCTTTACTTATGTCGTTCTGGCCCTGTGACGCTGGGCATTTGAGGGGGAAGTCCCATCTCCTGTACTCTTGAGACGGTGACTTTGGGATAGTGCGTGGGAACAGGAGTAGGGCCCGTTGCAGACTGAGAGTTGGATGCTGTGGGACATGCACATGGCGCTGAAGTAACCTGGGGCGTCTTTCGCCTTTTGTTTGTCGTTCTACAGCTCATGCCCGTCCCGGGCCCACGACAACAATCCAACCCACTGACATGCCCTAAAACCAGAGGGCCAGCCTCCCAACACCTTCAGTTTGGTCGGGACAGTCGTTACATGTTGAGGGGTTTTGGTTCCCCTATCGTTGTCCTTCCTGGTCGCAAAAGACGCGCGCGGAAAATCTGTCGAAGTTAGAGCTAAACATTCATGATTAAGGGTTCAGGGTTTAGGGTTAGGGGTTCAGGGTTTAGGGTTGAGGGTTGAGGGTTTAGGAGACCAACTACCCCACAAATCGGAAACCTGGCCCCCTGTCGAACGTCTCTGTCTCTGCAGGCCTATGCAAACGCGGGCGACCTCTCCGGTGCTGAAAAGTGGTTCAAGGAAGCAGCCGCACGCGGCCCCACACCCTCAGACCCTTCAGTTGCTGGGCTTCTGTGTTTGGGTTTTCAGTATTTGCGGGTTCAAGGTTCTGGGTCCAGTTCAGCCTTGTGTCGGGCCCTGCGTTGTCGGTTGTATGTGGTGGGACGCATGGTTCGCAGGGGTGAATCTTCCGGGGTTTAAAGTGTTGCTGTGGCTCCGGCGTCAAGTTTTCGGATTTTGTGTCGCCTGTCTCCAGAGATCTCCAGAGGATCAATTTGCATTACCATTATGGAACTAGGGACCCAAAAACCCTACTAAATAGGGTTTGGGGTACCTAATTCCATAATAGTACTACAAATGGACCCTCTGGGCAAGGTAAGCCCCGGAAGCCAGGAGATGGAGTCCGCCAGCGTGGCGCCCAACAGCAAGACCTACGGCAAGCTCATGGAGGCAGCCGCGAAGGCCGCGGCGGGTTGCGGTGCAGTCTTAAGGTTAAGCCCTACGGCCCCTTCTATGAGCCCTAGCCCTAGACCCTCAACCCTATGTAACGAACCCTACGCCCAACCCTCCAGGCCATGTGTTTGAGGCCGGTGTAGTGTCGTATCCTGATTAGTCTGGACCCAATAATGAAAAGTTTTCCAAAAATTATTCAGGAGACAAAAATTCGATTGCCCCCCCCACAATAAAGTAAAGATTTTCGGGCATGGGTTTCGGAAGAGAGAAAAAAAGAGAACAAGACTGAGCTTACCTGAGCTTAATTACCTAAGAGGAGAGGGAGAGGAAGAGGAGAGCATACCGCGTCAATAGCGGGGTGGGGGGGGTTGTTGTTGTTCCCCCCCCCCCACTTGTTGTTGAACAACAACCCCCCCCCCCCCCCCACTGAAGTTCGAAGATCGCGGGACGGAGGGGGGGGGGTGATTGTTGTTCCCCCCCCCCCCCACTTGTTGTTGAACAACAGCCCCCCCCCCCCCCCTCCCCTCTGAAGTTAGAAGATAACGGGATGGGGGGGGGGGGGGGTTGTTATTGTTCCCCCCCCTCCCCCTTGGATTGTTTGAAGAACACCCCCCCCCCCCTCCTAGAGGTTGTTGTTCCTCCCCCCCCCCTCTGACATCTACTATATCAGGCGAACGCGGTCTAGAAGAATTTGGTTTTCTCAGTATGGTAACTTGGAGCGATTTCCAGAACAATAGCTCAGCGTTGGAAGCCGGACTTGTTGACTGTTTATAGAAGTAGACTTTATTTTAAATCACAGACGAGGGAGTGGGAGGAAGGGAGAAGCGAGAATGCGGAGTGGGAGGAAGGGAGAAGAGAGAAGGGAATGTATTCTAAATTCCACCCCCCTCGAATCTTTTTTTTTTGTTTTATGTGTTTCATTATTCGAGAAATCAGAGGAGGAGAGAGAAGGGAATTTATTCTAAATTCCACCCCCCCTCGAATCTTCTTTTGTTTTTCGTATTTCATTCTTCGAAAACTCAGAGGAGAAGGGAGAAGGGATTTTATTGTAAATTCTACCCCCCTCGAATCTTCTTTTGTTTTTTGTATTTCATTATTCGAAGATCAGAGGAGTAGAGACGAGAGTGTTTTTGTTTCTAGAAGTAGAGAGCGGGGGGGTTGGGAGGGGCGCAGCCCCCCCCCAATTGCACTTCCAAGCCTTCCCCCTCGAATCTTCTTTTGTTTTTCGTATTTCATTCCTCGAAAACTCAGAGGAGAAGGGAGAAGGGAATTTATTCTAAATTCTACCCCCCTCGAATCTTCTTTTGTTTTTTGTATTTCATTATTCGAAGATCAGAGGAGTAGAGACGAGAGCGTTTTTGTTTCTAGAAGTAGAGAGCGTTGGGGGGGGCGCAGCCCCCCCCCCAATTGCACGTCAGAAAAGTACAGAACTGGTTTATCCACCCTCCTGGTTTCCAGGGGTTGGAGAGGGGGCTTCAAAGGGGGCTTCAGGAGAGTTTAACCTGGATTGAACCCTACTAGTAAGCAGTAGTAGTAGTCGCAGTAGTAGTAGTAGTAGTAGGAGTAGTAGTAGTAGTAGTAGTAGTCGTCGTCGTCGTAGTAGTAGTAGTAGTAGTAATCGTAATGGTAGTAGTAGTAGTAGTAGTAGTAGTAGTAGTAGTAGTAGTAGTAGTAGTAGTAGTAGTAATAGTAATGGTAGTAGTGGTAGTAGTAGTAGTAGTAGTAGTAGTGGTGGTGGTGGTAGTAGGGGGGGGGGTTGTTGTTCGAATAACAAGTGGGGGGGAAGAACAAGTGGGGGGGGTTGTTGTTCGAATAACAAATGGGGGGGGGGAACAACAACAACCCCCCTCACCCCTGCTTATTGACGGGGTCTCGAGGAGAGGGAAGAGGAGCGAAGAGGAAATGAAGAGGAGCCGGTGGGGGGGGGCCCGGGGCCGAAAATTAGTTTGGGGGGGTCCTTTTTTTTGGTGACACTATTGCGGGGGTGGATTTAGTGGGGGGGGGGGGGGGGGGGGGGGCGGGGGGCCCCCCCCACACTAATCAGGACACCACATTAGGGTTGAGGCTGGAGTTTTCAGATGTGCTCCTAGACAGTTCCGGATGCTGCATGTTGTCGTGTTTTTTGTCTTTTTGTTGCACGCTTTTGGTGCCCTTCACATCTGCTCGCAACAGATCCTGAGCCAGCTTTCCATTGACGCCGTTGCCATCACTGATTTTCATCTTTAAGTTAATCACTCTGCTGCCGCTGTCCTTGTCATTATTTGTTGCCTGCATCTGAGAAAGCCACTTGTGTCAACATTGCTTGTTGGCAAACGCAGGCTTCTCATGCCCCAGCTTCAACCATTGCTACCTTCACCAAGTATATGGTTGAATTATTCTGCTCTTGAGCAAATATCGAGGTTCCTTCACATGAGTCAGAGATGTTGGCCTCCGTCTTGCCGTCGGGCACCTAAGCCTTACCGGATCACTCCTCCACCATCCAGCCGTAGTTTTTCAGGGGGCAGGTGCTGAAAGTCGGTTTGCAGAGCTGGTGTAGAGACATGTAGCCGGGTTCGCTTGTGGGTTTGCTCTGTTGGCCGCTACCCAACACCCTTGCCTAAACCCTAAGCGAACCAGAGAGTTTGCAAGGGAGGCGACCCAGACTCTGCTGAGAAGTGGTTTGAGCAGCTTGGACGCTCTGAGCTGTGGTTGCAGAGTTGCTCTCACGTGTTCATGGCCTTTTCAGGTGTTGAGTTTGCAAGAGGTCAGTTTCTAGGTTAGGGGTCAGGGTTTAGGGTTTACCCTAAACCCTAAGCCCTAAACTCCAAACCCCTATAGAGCTTGGAGCCAGCATGGGGCCAGGCCACAGCATTTTCTAGAAGAGAGCCAGGGGTACAGGCAAGCTCCAAAGTTGTCGGGTCTTTGGAGCCATCTGGTGCTTCGCAGGGAATGAGGGGGTTAAGTACCCCTTCTGAATCCCTGAAAGGGTTCAGATAGGGGAATATGAGGTGTTTCCCTCATTCCGGAAACGAATGGGAGCTCGATTCATGTCAGCGGGGCAGCCGCAATCATGCCTTTCGAGGATTCTGAATCCGAATCGCCCTAAACTAACTCTCAAACCCAAAAGTCGAACACGCAAGAGCATTTGTTGTCGAGAAGGATGTCGAGCCTAAGCCCTAAGCACTTTCAAGGCTGACAGCATCTCTTGACCTTATTGCGAACCGGGTACCACACCTGCCAGAAGCCTTACTACCTGCCCACAGCCCAATCTGTGATTGCAAGGGTACCTGAACCCCTAACCCTAAACCCGTAAACCCCAAACTAAACCCTGACACCTGCGCTGCCGGGCAACTTGGCTCTCAGCTCGCGCCTGGTTGATTTGCGACGCATGTCCCAGGTAGGGGTCTCGATTCGTTTAGGGCTTAGGGTTTAGGGTTAAACCCTAAACCCTAAACCCTAGACCCTCTTTCAAGGGTTTTTGGGGAAGGTCGCCTCCGGCCCCGGCAAGACCTTGAATTTTCGATTTTGTAAGGAACTCAGGGCTCTCAAAGGCAAGGTCTTGTGGGGTCTAGGCAGGGCGAGGCCCAGATATGGATGTCTACAGCGCAACCCGAAGAACCCTAAGACCGCAATGGCTTAAAGCCTGACAACTTGAAAGCCCTCAAGCCCCAATATGGTCCCGGTGGGTTTAGGGTTTAGGGTTTAGGGTTTGGGGTTTAGGGCTTAGGGCTTAGGGTTTAGGGTTTAGGGTTTAGATGTCTGGTCCCGTTGGGTTTTGGTTCTCAACTCCTCGGGCTTATGAAAACGAGTTGCCTCCTTTAGGGGGCATCTTTGGCTGGATCACGCGGGTCCCAGGGTTCAGGCTTCAGTGGGTACCCTAAACCCTAAACCCGAAACCCTAAACCCTAAACCCTTTGTTCCCAAGTGTGAACAGCAATTTGGGTCGCCAGGTCCACAACTTCAGTCTGTCGATGTAGACATCTTCGATCAGGGTCGGAACGAGATGCTGAAGTCCTAAGCTTCAGAAACCCCAAACCCTAAACCCTACACCCGCAACACTCTGTCTCCACGTTCGCTAGACTAGCTGGAAAGGGCAACTACCCCTCTAAACTTAACTGCCTCCCGTCAACCTGCAGTTTGCTGATTTGGGGCTTATAGCAGGGCTTGTAGGGTTTAGAGCTTGCGGGGCTTGGGGATTGGGGCTTCTAGGGTCTAGGGCTTTTAGATTTTAGGGTTTAAGGCTTCTGGAATTTACGGGCTGACATTGCCTTGCGGTCCCTGAACAAACTTCAGCTTTGCAGGCGATCATGGCCGCTGGCTCGCCCGAGTGGTTTGAGACGACCTTGAAATCCACGGACGTGCTCTGCTTGGTGCTGTATCGCGGGAAGTGGTGACCATTCTGCAAGGTCTACCTGCAGGACATTGACAACCTCAAGCGACCCAGCATTGTTATGCACATTTATATGAATATAAACCAATAAATAATTACTGAATAAATATAAATAAATATATATATATATATACATATACACCTCTATATGCCGTATTCATCCTTTTGCTTCAGGGGCGAAGCATTCGTGCACATGAAATTTCGTGACAGACCTGCTTTTTTGTGCCATGACCCGCCAAACCTTTTTGCTTTCGCTGCCGCCACGTATGCACCTGGGTCACTTGTGCCCCGCTGCCCAGGGGTCAGATGGAAAAACTGAATGTGGCTGTATATGCCCTGACGTCCGAGCCCCAAGAGCAAGCAGACTTGGCCAAGAGAGAATGGGCAATCAGCTACGACGTCATCGGATGCCAGGAGCGTGATGACGCTGTCTACCCCCAAGACCTACTCCCTATACCCTGAGCCCTAAGCCCTAAGCCCTAAGCCCTAAACCCCAAACCCTAAACCCTAAACCCTCCCCCCCCCCCCCCCCCCCAAACCTGTGCCTTGCTTGGCCCGAACAGCCAGGTACCCCAGCAATACCTACCTACATTCTCTTTTTGCAAGACAAAGAGTGCCCTTGTTATTTAAGGAGCTACTGGGGGGGGGGGGGGGGCCCTTGACAAGGAACTAGATTTTAAGGTTCATGGAAGGGTGCTGGGCCATCCTCAAGCTCGGTTTTTGCCCAGACAAGTAAGGGTCTTCGGGGGTTTTAGGGGGGGTTTAGGGGTCTGGGGTTTAGGGGTTTAGGGGCTTAGGGGTTTAGGGTTTAGAGGTTTAGGGGTTTAGGGGTTTAAGGGTTTAGGGGTTTAGGGGTTTAGGGGTTTAGGGGCTTCGGGGCTTAGGGGTTTAGGGGTTTAGGGGTTTAGGGGTTTGGGGGTTTGGGGGTTTAGGGGTTTAGGTTTTAAGGGGTTGAAGGGGTTGCAGGATGTGAGACTGGCAAGCTACCTTGCCGACCAGTCACTCTTGGCACCGGTCGTCAGCCAGCATCGTGCCTTGATTCCTTGGTAGCCCAGTGGTACCCTTTTGCTGTTTTTAGGGTTTGGGGCTAGGGTTTAGGGTTTAGGGTATAGGGTTTAGGGTTTAGGGTTTAGGGTTTAGGGTTTAGGGTTTGGGTTTTGGTTCCAGGTTCCTTTATAAAGTAGCCTATGGTTACTGGGCTACCTTGATTCAATACTGCCAGCTGCGAGTGCCGTGAATCCACATGCGGGAGCAGTCTTCCTAAACCCTAAATCCAACAACCCTGAATGCCTAAACCCCTAAACCCCTCCTTGGGTTTAGGGTTTAGGGTTTAGGAAACCCGCAATCTTTACTTAAAACCAAGCACACCAGGATCCTCAACCTTGCCCCCGTAGGCCTCTGACTCCTCCTACCCCAGCTTTCGGTGGCCCCGCGCAAGAAAACATTGTAGTACAATGCTTTGGGATGACAGGTTTTCAGGTGTTAACAGTGTATTCTTGCCATATCATGATCCCGTACTACCTAATCATAACGATATTTCGGCATTACAGCATCATAGTTTTGTAGTCTTAATACAATATTTGGTCATTCCCTCAGAGCTCTCGAAGCGACAGGGAACACCGAGCTCTATCCCAATGGCATGGTACAGCCTGCGCTGGCCTTTATCCGCAGCCGCGACAGGGCTGTGATTTTTAGTCGCCTGGCGTGCAGCACCCCAAACTTCTATCCAACATACGAAGCCCTGAGCCCGATCAAAAATAGCCCTCAATCCCCCCAAAAAACTCATGTAAATCCACAAAATAGCCCTTAGTCCTCCCAAAAAAGTAGCCCTTTAATCTGCCTAAAAGTCGTTTTAAACAACAAGCCCTCGGACTCTTTGGGGTTAGATTTCCAGCCGCTCAAGCCTCATCCAAGTTGTCTTCAGGGTCCGGTATTTAGGGTTTAGGGTTTGGGGTTTAAGGACATGGTGAGGGTTTAGGGACGCATGGTTAGGGCCTGCTGCAGCTTGGGCGAAGCACGACCCCCGGGTTCCAAAAGCGTCGCAAGGCTGGGTGTGCGTGCCAGACTCGTCGAACATGCAGGGCGCCACCTACCGCCCAAAGCCGGCCCATGTTTGGTGGCTTGGCGCATACACTACACACACACACTGACACTGAACCATCGGTTGAAAGAAGGGATCAAATCCGAGCTGCCGGTTCTGGCTAGACAAGCTTTAGCAGCTCCGCTGTCTCGTCCATACCTTCTTTCAAACCTTTGCAAGGCGCCCACTGGAGTGCCAGTGAAATGGGAAGCAAAAGAGCATTTGGGAGTTCGTGTGGGTCTGGCGAGAGTGGCCAGCGTTGAATTGTTGAGGGTTTAGGGTTACAGAATGGGTTGCCTTCAACTCGCCTCCATCCTTAAACCTTGAGCTGTTGGCGAGGAAGGCTATATCAAAAAAGTTGGACGCTCCTGCGGGCGAGCTGCCAGTCACCGCCGAGCTCCTGGGATAGCTTGGGGTATTTCACATGGTGGGTGAATGCTTTTGGTTCTGGCAATGCCTATAGGCACTATAAGCTGCCAAACAACTCGAAACGATTTTGTGTTTGCGCGTCGCGCGGTGCACGAAGGAACATGCCCATGGACGGCATGGGGCGCCTGCTTGCCTATATGGCATCCAGGCTTTGCGGCTGCTGTTCATAAAGCTCGACAGTGTCGCTGCAGCCTCCACCAGCAGGACCAGTATGTGAGAGCTGCATCCGTGCTTCGACTTTATCGCATCTTGGATGCAAAAATGGCCTTTGCAGTTTTCACGAACTGGTGGACGCACGCAAGCCTCGAAACCTCAGAAGTTTCAAAACTTTGGAGAATGCTGAGGAAGCTGGCGGGGAGCTTGAGAAGGCTTGGTCCTGCAATCGTCAGGCTCGTGGCGAGATGCCGTCATGTTTCACCGGTGAAGAGAAGGCCAAGGCCTGCTGTAGAAAGCGTGTGTATCAGGAAGCCGCGTGGGAGGCTTTCCTATGGGCCCTGGTGCACCCTAAGCCGCTAAGGCTTTATGGCCATGGGGTCCAGAAATCCCAGAACTTCGAGCTTTCCGAGACCTGCTCAGCCAGCGCAGTGCAAAGGTGCGAGATAAACACCGGCTGCGCCTTCGGGGATCTCCAGGGTTTAGGTGATTTGCCATACTCACTTCTCGGCTACGACTACGAGCAGGTGCTTCTTTTGTAGCCACGAACTTCACGAACGGGATGCTTGTTGGTTGGGAATCCATCTTCGGACAGTGACCCTGGGCGCTAAATTCCGTGCTACTCTTTGGACCCACTCCTCGACATCCCCATGCGCGAGGCACCTGATGTGCCGACAAAGCTGTCCCAAGGAGGAGTAGGCAACCAATTGCAAAACGCTCCTGTAAACCACTGGGTTTAGGGTTTAGGGTTTAGGGTTTAGGGTTTAGGGTTTAGGGTTTAGGGTTTAGGGTTTAGGGTTTAGGGTTTAGGGTTTAGGGTTTAGGGATCTTGCAACTGCACCTCGAAGCTCGTATGATTCAGGCACTCGACACAGAAGCTTGGATTCGAGCCGAATCCAACCTGGCCGCTCGGCCCTTGAACTGCAAGGACATGCGATGGGGGCCTAGGGCTAAGGGCTTAGGGTTGTGTTGGGGCCGAACTGGACACCCAATGGCTTGGATAGAGCAACTATCGGCAAGAAGCCTTCAAACGCAGAACCTCACCACACAGAATGAGCAGGACTCCTGTGAGTGAGGTCCGACCACACCCACGAATGCATGTTTCTCTAGGCCGGAAAAGCCCCCAAACCCAATTCTCAGCTCGAAGCCACTAATCTCTAAACCCCAACCCGAAGGTTTTAGGGCAGAGTTTGCGGAAAAGGTTTTTTTAACCCGCCGTCGAAGCCCCACCACACATCATCATTTCTAGCCCTCAGCCTGACTCAATAGCCCAGGGGTACTCTTTTCACCTTTTTGGGGTTCCGGGTTCCCTTTCTAAAGGTACCCAGGTGCCCTTCTTAGAGTATGGTTATTGGGCTACCAAGAGGCTGACTCCTGTGGGGTTTGGGGTAGAAGGCCCTCAATCCCGTCGTTTGGGGTTCACTGACCACCCCTGGCTGCAGGTATGGCCTGCTGATGGACGCTTCTGCCAAGGCCAGCTTCCACTGGAATGAGATTTTGTCTTGTTGCGAAACGCAACAACTACCACGAATGCCTAAGCTTCCCTAAGATAGAGGTATTAGAACTCCACCCACCTTTCTGACCCGTGCCATCAGAGTGACAGAAGTGGGCCCTTGGATCAATAGAAGCAAGTGGCAGCCTCGCGGAGGAGTAGCATTCTAGATAGGACCGAGTGCTCGCGGATCATGAATGCTGATGTGTGCGATTTGTTGAGCATCTTGTTCTGCGAGGTGTCACAAGCAGGGTGCATGATCGGATTTCGGGAATCATTACTTTGGGTGTTTAGGTTTTCTTGCTGGAACTAGTTGCGTGGCGTCGATGTTGGTTCCGATCCATGGGCCGCTTTTTGTGTGACCTTCGCATCCGTCGCGTTGTCTGACATGAAGCCTGTTCAACAAACAAGAACGCAAGAGACGCAAGCTTGCATACCAAGGCGCTTGATTAAACCTACGTTCCGGGCCGACACTCGGGACTATCGCCTGCATACTATGCCACCAGATAACCAACCAGCACATTTTTGGAAGACAGTCCGTAAAGACTGCACGAGCAAGCATATGAGAAGACTTATTGTGGGCAGTGTCCAACGCATATTTGTTTAATTACACGAGGTCAAAGACTCATTTCCAGCACAAGACAAGTTTGAAATGACCTCAATCATACATGGCTAAGATTCGAAATCCTACCCGGGACCTCCAAGTTCCTAACTACAACTCGTTTTCGGAAATCAATGACCCTTTCCGCTGCGCCATTGGGAGGCTGGTGACCCTCAGCGTGCCGCGCGACCTGGCTGCCGTTGAAGGGTTTAGGGATTAGGGTTTAAGGTGGGCCCTTGGGACATTTTATATCTTTCCCTTCTTGTGCTCACGAGGGTCATATTCAGGGATAGTTTTTCAGAGGGTCTTAAGGGCCATCCTAATTCTGTTCTGATGGATATAACCGAGCTTCCCACTTGTCTATTCTATGGTAACTAGATGCAAATTTGTTAAATGCCCTAAACCCTAAAACCTAAACCCTAAATTTAAACCCTAAACCCTAAACAGCAACCCAGGCGATGGTTCAAGGAGGCGCGGCGCGCGGAGCTTTCGCCAGACTTGACGTGCCCAGGGGGAGATGTTGTGTGCCAACTTGTAGACATCCTACTTGATAGCATGGGGTTTAGGGTTTTGGGTTTTGGGTTTTGGGTTTAGGGTTTAGGGTTTAGGGCCTCTTGAAAAGAGTCCCACAAATTGACAAAAAGACCTTAATCGCCTGGGAGTGAAGCTTAGGTTGGGGTTGGGGATTTCGGGCTTTGGGTGCAGAGTCCATTGCGGAGCCTTGAGGAACGATTCAAGGCTCTGGTTGCTTTCTTTGCGCTCTCTGGAGAGAGCATCAGGGGCTCGCTAGACCCGCCCGAACCTCCGAACAGGATTCAGCCGATGAAGACCATTCTTCGTTTAAGGGTGCCATGATCTATAGGACCCGCGCTCTTGAAGTTTCAATCCCCTGGCAGCCGGGAGGGGGGCCGGAAGAAACCATGGCCACCCAGCGTGGAAGCCTCACCCCTTATAGAAGCCCAGATGTCAGCGCCAAGACCCCGACACAGGTGAACTGCACAATGGCCCATGAAGCTAAATACCCCCCCCAAACCTTAAACCCTAAACCTTAAACCCCAAACCCTATAGCCCCTAGCAACCCTAAACCCTTGTGTCAAACATGGGAGATTCTGGGAGCGACGCGATGCTTAGGGTTTCTGAGGGAACCCTCGACCACGACTCCAGACCACGCGATCCGAAAATAATAAGATAATAAGATTAACAGAGCCGTAAACCTTGTTGGTTTAGGGTTTGGGGTTCAGGGTTTAGGGCTTGTAAGCCCTGAACCCTAAAACTCCATTGAGGTACTACACCACGCTGGTGGATAGCTGCGCCAAGGCCGCCGACCTGGCCGGGCTTCGGCACTGGCTCAAGGCCCTGCAATCAGGGTTTAGGGTTTAGGGTTTAGGGTCTGCAGGAGGTTTAGGGTTTAGGGTTTAAGGTTTAAGGTAGGCCCTTGGGATAGATGTTGTAACTTCCCTTATTGGGTTTAAGAGGATCAGATTTCGAAATCTTCAGAGGGTTTTGTGGGTGATCCTAGCTAAGTGTAATTTACAGCATGCATGAATGTCCTAAACCCACGGGCTCCTTGCAGCCCTGGGCTCGGAAACCCTCGAGCCACCTGCCTCCTCTCCAGGAAATGGTGCATGACAAGCTTATGCCCAATGCAGCTTGGCAAGCATTTCCGCGCCCGAAAACCGAGCCCGCAAAGAGACACAAGCAGATTTGGGATCAGAGCTGGAACTAGCTGAGAGACTGCAAAAACGTGTTGGGAACGTCATGCTGTATTTGACGTTGGCCAGTAATCCTGTGACGCAGTGATCGCAGCAGCTGCAGCATGCCCACTCGGCGGCCATTTTCAGCTTGAGCCGCAAAAAGTCGTTGGTGGTCGCTCCTGTTCCTGTGCCAGCTTTCCCAAGACTTGCAATGGCCCGCTCCAGTTCTCTGCTCGCCTTCTTGGTGTTGGCCCTTGGCTGCTCCGCGCTGCTTTGCTTCGTGGGCACAACTCCAGCACCGGCAAGCAAGTCTCTGCGCGCGCCAGCAGTTCAGATGGAGGCACGAGGTGGCGCTGATGGCGCACTGGGCGACATGACTCCCGACACGTACATTATCGGAATTACTGTCTTCGGCATTGCATCCTTGTTCGCCAACATCAGCGGCTTCTTCAACCCTTGAGGATGAAGACAGGCTCAGTCCACTGAAAGTGGGTCGCTGTCCTATTTTAAGGGAATCATTGCTTCTTAGAACTCGCAGCGGCATCCCTAACAGACCAGGGAAGCAGCTATGCTGAAGGCATGTAGAGAAACGCGAAAAAAGAGTACGGATCATCATTCTGTACTTGGTGTTGGCATGTGTTGGCCAGTAATGCAGTCACGCAGTCACGCATTGATCGCAGCAGCTACGTGCATGCCCATGCCCGCTCGGCGGCCACTTTCAGCTTGAGCCGCAAAAAGTTGTTGGTGGTCGCTCCTGTCCCTGTGCCAGCTTTCCCAAGACTTGCAATGGCCCGCTCCAGCTCTCTGCTCGCCTTCTTGGTGTTGGCCCTTGGCTGCTCCGCGCTTCTTTGCTTCGTGGGCACAACTCCAGCACCGGCAAGCAAGTCTCTGCGCGCGCCAGCAGTTCAGATGGAGGCACGAGGTGGCGCTGATGGCGCACTGGGCGACATGACTCCCGACACGTACATTATCGGAATTACTGTCTTCGGCATTGCATCCTTGTTCGCCAACATCAGCGGCTTCTTCAACCCTTGAGGATGAAGACAGGCTCAGTCCACTGAAAGTGGGTCGCTATCCTATTTTAAGGGAATCATTGCTTCTTAGAACTCGCAGCGGCATCCCTAACAGACCAGGGAAGCAGCTATGCTGAAGGCATGTAGAGAAACGCGAAAAAAGAGTACGGATCATCATTCTGTACTTGGTGTTGGCATGTGTTGGCCAGTAATGCAGTCACGCAGTCACGCATTGATCGCAGCAGCTACGTGCATGCCCATGCCCGCTCGGCGGCCACTTTCAGCTTGAGCCGCAAAAAGTTGTTGGTGGTCGCTCCTGTCCCTGTGCCAGCTTTCCCAAGACTTGCAATGGCCCGCTCCAGCTCTCTGCTCGCCTTCTTGGTGTTGGCCCTTGGCTGCTCCGCGCTGCTTTGCTTCGTGGGCACAACTCCAGCACCGGCAAGCAAGTCTCTGCGCGCGCCAGCAGTTCAGATGGAGGCACGAGGTGGCGCTGATGGCGCACTGGGCGACATGACTCCCGACACGTACATTATCGGAATTACTGTCTTCGGCATTGCATCCTTGTTCGCCAACATCAGCGGCTTCTTCAACCCTTGAGGATGAAGACAGGCTCAGTCCACTGAAAGTGGGTCGCTATCCTATTTTAAGGGAATCATTGCTTCTTAGAACTCGCAGCGGCATCCCTAACAGACCAGGGAAGCAGCTATGCTGAAGGCATGTAGAGAAACGCGAAAAAAGAGTACGGATCATCATTCTGTACTTGGTGTTGGCATGTGTTGGCCAGTAATGCAGTCACGCAGTCACGCATTGATCGCAGCAGCTACGTGCATGCCCATGCCCGCTCGGCGGCCACTTTCAGCTTGAGCCGCAAAAAGTTGTTGGTGGTCGCTCCTGTCCCTGTGCCAGCTTTCCCAAGACTTGCAATGGCCCGCTCCAGCTCTCTGCTCGCCTTCTTGGTGTTGGCCCTTGGCTGCTCCGCGCTTCTTTGCTTCGTGGGCACAACTCCAGCACCGGCAAGCAAGTCTCTGCGCGCGCCAGCAGTTCAGATGGAGGCACGAGGTGGCGCTGATGGCGCACTGGGCGACATGACTCCCGACACGTACATTATCGGAATTACTGTCTTCGGCATTGCATCCTTGTTCGCCAACATCAGCGGCTTCTTCAACCCTTGAGGATGGAGACAGGCTCAGTCCACTGAAAGTGGGCCGCTATCCTATTTTAAGGGAATCATTGCTTCTTAGAACTCGCAGCGGCATCCCTAACAGACCAGGGAAGCAGCTATGCTGAAGGCGTGCTGAGACAGAGTAAAAAGGAACAGGGAATCTTGTGCCACCACAGCCACATCATGCCCGCGCCTCAAAGCCCTGAATCACGGGGCCACAGGGTTCCACAGGGCTTGGGGCTCAGGTTCCCAAATCGCTCGAAGGCATGGACCCTGACGGCCATAATCGACGGGCACGCGAAAGCCGGCGATGCTACTGTGGCTGCATATACTGAGGTCTGAGCAAGCACTCTGCTGTCTATGCTTCTTTGACTGTTTTATGTGCCTACGTACTGCCAGACAACGAATTCAGCATCACGGTTACACCGCACAGAACTGTCCTTCGTTGATTATATTCAGCCCATGCCTGCCAACCATTCTTGCAGCCACCATGTCAGTCTGTTGTTTCGCGCCTGGGCATTTTGGCCTAGCTCGCCAAACCGGGAGTGCGAGTAGCCCTGGACTGCGCAGTGTTCGCAGAACTCAGTTTGTCAGTTGTTCACTTGCGTGGTGCCCCTAAACCCTAAACCCTAACCCCAAACCCCAAACCCTAAACCCTAAACCCTAAGCCCATCGAGTGTTGTAGGTGGCCGGAGCCGAAGAATGGCATCGGCGGGCAGGGTCCGCGCTGGATGAGCCACTGGACAGGGTTGGAAACCCTAAACCCTAAACCCTAAACCCTTTTGTGGGTGGGTCATTTGAGCCCTAGTGGCCCTACCTGGGACTCTTATGTTTACCCACAGTTGAGTCGTAACTACCCTTAATTTGTAGGTATATAACCCAAAGCACTGTACTCGTAGGGAAAGCGGGTCCCAGGTAGTGTTTAAGCCCCACGTGCCCTAAACCCTAAACCCTAAACCCTAAACCCTAAACCCTAAACCCTGAACCCTAAACCCTAAACAAGTCCTCAAAGGGATCCGTGACCTCGGAGGCTTGGCTTTGCTGCCTTGAATTCTCAGGGAACGAGAAGCCCCCGGCGGCCATATGGGCCCAGGCCCATGGAGTCTCAAAATCCCTATAAGCAGAGAACCCTAAACCCTTTAATGCCCTTGAATGTAACCAGGAGTTTGCTCCATGCTTCCTCGTGTAGGCTTTGGGCTTGTGGCCCTAAACCTTAAACCCTAGGGTAGGGATCCTGCAAACTCTACCTGAAGGTTCATGTGTAGTTCGAAGAAGGGTTATGAGTACGGCAACCTATGTTATACCCTAAATTAAGGTATCTATAGAACCCTACTTGTACCTACCCGTGAACCTCCAAGTAACCGTAACCCCGCAAGCTCCAAAACGGCCCTCTTGAGTGGCTTCATGGCCATTGGAGTTGGAATCATCAACAAAACCCCAAACCCGGAACCCCTAAACCCTAAACCCCAAACCCTAAACCCCTAAACCCTAACCCTAAACCCTAATGTGTGCTGCCGCAGCTGTTGCACCTCGCAGTTCAAGTAAATGTGTGTTTTGTTGCAATTGCAGCTGCCGGTTTCAGCCATCAGTTGCCAACTTCAAGGGTTCAGGGTTTAGGGTTTAGGGTTTAGGGTTTAGGGTTTTAGGGTTTAGTTTATTAGGCGCGGCCGCCTCTGCTCTGAGAGGGCCTACGCTCGCGTCATGGCGGACCTTGACGAAGTGACGACAATGCTCCTGAAGATGACCAGCAAGGTGGCTCGGCTCAGGGCCCGGATTCTTAGGGTTTAGGGTTTAGGGTTCAGGGTTTAGGGTTTAGGGTTTAGGGTTTAGGGTTTAGGGTTTAGGGCTCTTTTTGCTTCCGGAACATGCGCATCAACACCCGGCAGCAGTGCAGCAACCCCAGTATCCTTGAAGCCCAGCATGGTGCATCCAAGCAACCCCCAAAGCTCTGGTAAGCGACTCAGAACCCCCCCCCCCCCCCGCGAGCCTTAAGTACGCACGCGCGCCTTGAAAACCCCAACCCTCTAAGGAACCTTCGCGTGTAGGTGGGCCAGCTCCAACGGTGGTCCCTTTCGGGTACACCAACTGCGAGAGCCCTATAATGACCCCCAAAAAGGGTGCTAAGACTTCTAAGAGGGAGGTGGAACCCTAAAGCCTAAACCCTAAACCCTAGAAACTTGATTAGGTGCACGCCCCCCCATTCCGAGAGAGTCCAAGGAGGGCTTAAGGCTCAAGGGGTTCAAAGGTTTAAGGTTAGATAGTTTGTGTCGGGACTAGAGATTACGGGGTGGCTTAGGGCTTCCGGGCTTCATCAGGGTTTTGCTGTAGGGTATAGGGGTTTATCTTGAGACCCCCCTCAGGTTACTTACCAAGAGTTTGTGGACATGCTCGGTCACTACTTGGGCGAGTTATGGCGGAACAAGCCTTACAACTTGATCCACTTGGTGTCGCCGTGTGCCGTTGTGGTGAACTTCACTTCTTCCCAGGCGGCCAGCATGGTTTAGGGAACAAGGGTCTCTGCAAGGCTTTTGCAGAAAAAAACTAGGGTAGGGTTTAGGGTCTAGGATCTAGGGTTTATTGTTTAGGGTATCGGGTTTAGGGTTTAGGGGTGTAGGGACGGTTGTGGGCTGAGTAGGTTGAGAACAACAATGACAAGTGAAAAGGGGCCTGTTGGATCAGAATTTGAAGTCTAGGCTTCTACCGGGGTTGTAAGGAGGTTCTATTGGCATTTGTCAGTCAAGAAAGGCTCTTGTATGAGGTCCAAAACCACACAGAGCCTCAACGTCACCCCGCAAGCCACCTTCACGGAGCCCTCTTGGGGGTGGGGGGGGGGGGGGGGGCGACGACCTGTGGGAGTGTAGCCTCCGTGCGGTGTTTAGCTTGACAACCCTCAACCCTAGCCCCAAAACCTAAACCGCCAAGCCACATCCTAAAACCTGCTTTCAGGTGTACCAAAGATGCTTCAGGGCTCTGGAAGTACTCGCTGGCTGCGCGGCTGAAGTTTTGCACCTCTGTGGCCCAAAGCATCCCATCGCCTGCCGCAAGCGCCACGCCCGAAGCACTGCCCTAAACCCTGCAAGCCAAGGAACTTAGACTAGGCAGGCCCTTGGGATATTTCGCATTTCCCGTTGTTGGGTTTGAGAGGATCATATTTGGGAATATTCATGCGAGGGCACTAATTTAAGGGCCATCCTACTTCAAGGGTTTCAGGATGTAAAGGGGCTATATGCATTTTTTGCATGAGCGAACGGCCTCTACGGCTTCGGGACGAAACAATAAAGCGGCACCGGGTCCAGTAGCTCAAGGTCTAAAAAGCCCTAAAAGCCCCAAAAGCTCAAAAGCCCGGAACCCTAAACCCAACACTGCGAATCGAAACCCTACATTCTCTCAAAGCTCGCGCCTGAAAAGACTCAGTCCGACCCTAAACCCAAAACCCTAAACCCAAAACCCTAAACCCTAAAACCTAAACCCTAAACCCTAAACCCTAAACCCTAAACCCTACCCCCCCCAACCCAGGCGTCAACGGTATCCGTGTGAAAGAGGTAAGGCAGGCACGGCACCAAGGCCTGAATGCCCAGAGTTTAGGGTTTCGGGTTTAGGGTTTCGGGTTTAGGGTTTCGGGTTTTAGGGTTTAGGGTTTTAGGGTTTAGGGTTCAGGGTTCAGGGTTTAGGGTTTAGGGTTTGGGATGTTCACCCTTCTACGAACAGTCCTTAATTACAAAAGGGGGCCCTATTGAGGATTGTTAGTATAGGGGGAACGTCCCAAGTTCAGGTTTAAGTTGAAGGTTTGCTTCGAAGGCGTCGGCTACTTGAGCCTTTAGGGAGGACCCCCTACCCTAAACCCTGAACCCTAAACCCCAAACCCCGAACCCCAAACCCCAAACCCTAAACCCTGTTAACCCCTAAAGCTACAAGGCCTTGAAAGCCTCGAAGCCAGACTCACAGTCTGGGCGACTGTGGTCTACAGCCCTTAAAACGTCAACATAACGCCCTAAACCCTCAACGCCTAGAACTCTGCAGCCCCCCTAAGGCTTATAGTTTCTTAGGATTAAACCCCAGAGACATTCAAAACAATATTTCCATTAAGGTTCTGAGGGGAGATTAGAATAGAAATTCTCAAACACAACACCCCAAACTCCTTCAACCTGAAGTACAGGCTTGGCAGCAAATCTGGCCCTCTACCTTGCCAGACGAAGCTTTCGCCGCTCAGTGAGGCACCCTTTGCAAGCCAAAAAAGTTTTAGGGCCAGCTGAGAGCTTTGTGTTTAGGTTTAGGGTTTGGGGTTTAGGGTTTGGTTCGGCGTTGGGGATACGGGTCCACATGCACAAAAGCCAATTCCAAGACCTCGCATGCCCTCCAAATCGCAAACCTATCGTGCCCCGAGAGGGGTCCATGTTGACCAGACCCCTCTAGTGTGCTCTACTTTTTTTGGGACTGCCTTGCAAGCACTTGGGTATGTCGACGTACCCAAAGCCCCGAATTCCAACTCCCAAGCTCCCGACCTCTACAAGGAAAGCGCACCAGAGAAACAAGAGTTCTCTTCCAGCACTCCCCATCCCAAGATGGAAGACCCCCCCCCACCCACCCTACCCCCCCCCCCTAGCCACACTATCCCTAAACCCTAGCTTCTAAACCCTAACCCGAAACCCGAAACCCGAAACCCGAAACCCGAAACCCGAAACCCGAAACCCGAAACCCGAAACCCGAAACCCTAAACCCTAAACCCTAAACCCTAAACCCTAAACCCTAAACCCATCCTCCCAAGCCTCTTACTTCTTACTCCACAGCTTCGGGCAGGAAGGGAGCCGAGCCCCACGTCTTCTACGGGGGCGCCAAGCTTGCCGTGACGACGGCGCAGCTCCGCGGCAATCAGGGCCGGGGTCCGACAGGACCCTCTCATGGGGTGTAGGGTTTAGGGTTTTGGGTTTTGGTTTTTTAGGGCATCGGGCCTGGGATTTGAGATTTAGGGCTTCTCCAACCTAGCAACCGCCAAGCCCGGGTCGTCCCACGCTCTGAAACAGACAACGGCTAGTCTCTGGAGGAATGAGAGGCTCAGGTTTTCAGATTCCAGGTGCACGGCTTCCCCTTTTAAGGGCTTAGCAGTGGGGTTCATGGTGTCATATTGCACGGAAGGCGAAGACTTAGGCTTTGGGGGTCGGAGGTTGAAGTTTAGGACTGCAGGGTGCATAAGGACTAAATCCTTTTTGGGGGTCCTGGGCTCCGACCTCAACCCACCCGGAATAGGCAGTGGAACTCGGTTTCGGTTTAGATGGGCCTCCCCAGTATCAGACTCAACATCCGGCAGACGCGTTGCACAGTTCAGGGTTTAGGGTTTAGGGTGGAGATGTTGGGCGAGTGGGAGGTGGGGTGGGTGGACTGGAAAAACTTTTCTTGAACCAGTTGCCCGTACAGCCGAGGCGAGGTAGGGTGTTCAAGAGGTTGCTGGTTGAGTCGCACGTGGCCGAACTTCCCCACTTCATCCCGACTCTGCCACTTCAGGGCCCATGGGTCCTGGTGAGCGCGAAGTTCAGCGAAGGCCCACTGACTTGCGCGCCATTGCGACGAGGAGCGCAAGTGAGGAGCTGCCATATCAGGTCGTGGCCCGTGAGTGCAGCCGTGCGGCCCATACGGAATGGTTACCACTTCCGTCCAGATGGTAGCGAGCTCTTCATCCTGGCAAGGACAGCCCGGACACCGGCTGGCTGATGGATGTCGTTGTTGCTGGATTGCGGCGTGAACAAG